CCGACCTCGCCCCCACCCCCAAGCCCACCCCACTGCTCCCCATCTCTCTTCTCTGGCTCTGATGATCGATCCTTCACTGGGGCTGGAACTAAACTGGGACCCGCCCGGGTGGAGGTGGAAGGAGGCAGGCAAGCCGACTGAGAGACCCTAGATGACTGCTGACTTGGGTGATCTGGGCCGGGGCCGACCCTTGTGGGATCATTCCAGCTGGATTCTGCTGTGATCTGCCCAACTGATTTCTAGCCCTCTCTGCTCAGACACTCAACCATGATGGCATGTCAGGCTCTCTTTCTGGGTCACAACAGTAGATTTTTCTTCAGAAGAGCTAGTGGAGGCTCACAGTGAGAACAGACTGAAAGGACGAGGAGAAAAACACCTGTCTCCTAGGAGCTGCTGGGTAGACTCACAGAGGGAAATGGGTCCAGCTGGACACCAGCCCCCTCCGTGGCATCCAACCCTCCCTCCTCCCCAGCTAGGCATCATCTGACTGCTCCAGAGCCAAATCCAATCCTAATCCTACATGTTCTGTTCCAGGAATCTGAGATCCATGTAGCTTACTCTACCCAAAACTTGGAGAGTCGTGGAGATGTTGGTGGAAGGAAACAGGTTTATTCCAGACTGGCCATGAAGGACACAAAAGAGAATCTCCATCTCCAGGGGCAAGAACTTTTTATAAAGGAAATGATGACTGTGGCCATTGACATCCACATTCTGCCAATACAGAGAAAGACTAGGTAGGGTAGGGTGTTACAAATGTAACTAGATGGTATGGGTTTTGTAGCTAGAGATTTAGCAGGTAGCAACATTTGGTTAAGGTTTCTCTTTAGAATTGGCAGTACTCAGGGCCTTGCACTGCTAGGCAAATGCCCTACCACTTTAGCCACTCTTCCAATTGCTTTCCAGTGGCTGGAATGCTGGAAAAGGATTAGGGAAGGGTAGAGGGCAAAAAGTAAGGGAAGGGGGAGCAAGGGGCCCTTCTGAATGATTCCCTCTTAGGTTATAACTTTAAGAAAATTTGACCCTCTGGGCACTGGTGGCTCACATCTGTAATCCTAGCTACTAACGAGGCTGAGCTCTGAGGATCATGGTTCAAAGCCAGCCTGGGAAGGAAAGTCCATGAGACTCTTATCTCCAGTAAACCACCAGAAAACTGTAAGTGGCGCTGTGGTTCAAGTGGTAGAGCCCTAGCCTTGAGCTAAAGAGCTGAGGAACAGCACCCAGGCCCAGAGTTCAAGCCCCATGACCAACCAAAAAAAAACAAAGAAAAATTCACCCAAGTGCTAGATTTCTGGGGTTTGTGGAAAAAATGGGACCATGGGGGAAACCTGGACTTGGAAGCCCCTTTAGCCAGGGCTATGAACTGCTTCCTTCAGTCCTGCACATCACCACAGCCCACTTGAGTCTTCTGGACACAAATGGAATGAAAAGGTTCCTGTGGGCATTGGGTTTACCTCCCACACATCCATTTTCACAGATAAGGGGAGTAAAGACTGGAGGGTGACAGGAATATACCAGGCACCACAGGTGAGGCTGTGGCTAGAGTAGGTATCTGGGAGAGAAGATGATCTTCTACAGAAACATCCACTGATTGACTCCTCAGTGCTGAGAGGAGAGGTTTGGCTTCTTCTTCTTGAGTTTCTTGAGTAGATCCCTCTGCAGGTCACTTAGAAGTACCTCAATTCCCCCCCCCCCCCGCCTCCCCCCAGTTCTTTAGTTCTGTTTCTCTACTGCCTCGTGTCTTGGAGCCCCTTGGAGAAAAAGAGGTGGTAGGGCCTTGCTCCTCAGGTAAATAGCCAGGACTGTGGCAAGGCTCTCCCAGCTCAGGTAGACAGCAGGTCCTTTCAGCTCAGGCCTGAGGAAGGAGGGCTGAGGGAGCAGCCCAGGACTTTGTTCAAATGTGTATACCCCAGGAGTGCCACTCCCACCTCTAATCCTCTCCAGATCATAGTGACCATCCTGCCTGCTAGAAATCATCTGCTGTTTTCCTTCTTTTTACATGTGCGCGCACATGTGCACACGCACGCACGTGCACACACACCCACACACACCAGTCTTGGTCTTGAACTCAGGGCCTGGGCACTGTCCCTGAGCTCCTTTTGCTCAAGGCTAGCACTCTACCACTTGCGCCACAGTGCCACTTCTGACTTTTTCCATGTATGTGGTTCTGAGGAATCGAACCCAGGGCTTCATACATGTGAGAAAAGCACTCTACCACTAAGCCATATTCCCAGCCCCAAAATTACAATTAATCTTTTTTTTTTTTTTTTTGCATGTGCTGGTCCTGAGACTTGAACTCTGGGACTGGGCACTGTCCTGAGATTTTTTTTTTTTCCCCTCAAAGCTACCACTCTACCCCTACTTTTTACGCTTTTTAAGGTATTCTTGTGTGTGTGTCCACATGTGTGTGCATGTGTGTATGCCACCAGTACTTGATCTCAGGGCCTGGGCACTGTCCCTCAGCTTTTTTCTCAAGGCTAGTGCTCTACTCCTTGAGCCACAGCTCTGATTGTAGTCTTTTGGTGGTTAATCAGAAATAAGATTCTCACAGATTTTTCTACTAAGGCTGGCTTCAAACTATGATCCTCAGATCTTAGCCTTCTCAGAAACTAGGATTACAGGTGTGAGTCACTAGCGTCCAGCTGGTTCTTAGGGTTGTTTTTTTGTTTGTTTTTGTTTTGTTTTGTTTTGACTATGCAGCCCGAGCTGGCCTCAAACTCCAGTTCCTTTCACTTAGACCTCCTAAGAAATGGGATTACAAGCATGTGCCACCCTGCCCTCCCTCCACAGTTTCTGGCCTAATTGTGGGAACTCTTGGGAAAGAGCTATCCTGTCTGCCAGCAGGAAGTTGGCCTGCAGCTGCAGAGAGCCTGCAGTCAGATATCTACAGGGATGAGCCAACCAGGAGAAAGCAGAGCCAAGACATACAGAGAAGCAGATACCTGGCCAAGCACATAAGCACCTGGATCCAGCTGTTCCTGAAGCTGACGTCAATTAAATAAACAAATTCCTCTTTTTGATTAACTGATTTCTACTGCAATCAAAAAAAGGTCCACTATACTATTTCAAATGATGAGTTTTGGGCCATGAATTTCTCAGCTTAGACAAAGGTGTCCTGATACTGATAACCTTGTTTATTTATTTATTTATTTATTTTTTTGCCAGTCCTGGGGCTTGAACTCTGGGTCTGGGCACTGTCTCTGAGCTTCTTTTGCTCTACCACTTGAGCCACAAAGCCACTTATGGCTTTTTTTTTTTTTTTTTTTTGAGTAGTTTGTTGGAGATAAAAGCCTCACAGACTTTCCTGTCTGTGCTGGCTTTGAACCACAATCCTCAGATCTCAGCCTCCTGAGTAGCTAGGATTACAAGCGGCAGACACCGACACCCAGCTAACCTTGTTTATTGACAGAACCCCTCTTTTTTAGGAGCAATGAATATACTGGGGAAATGAGCTATGGACAGTACTCACCAGGGATGATGAGGCCCCTCCCTCCTTGGAGGCTGGTCAGCTGACTCAGAGCTGCAAGACTGTCCTCACCTCCCCTGTCTTCCTCCTTTTCACTTTCTCCTCCTCTTCCCTTTCCTCCACTGTGGCTAGTCTGTCCACTGCAGCTGCCCAGCTGCCCTGGGGCTCTGTTGCTCCTTCCTGCAGGCCCTGGAAGAGAGCTTCAGCATTTCCTGGTTGTGGTGTACTTCATTCTGGGAACTCAACCAGGCTCTCAGAGCAGGTCCTGCTCTCCAAGGGTAGAACCCAAGAGCAGCCCCTCCCCCAACTCTGTCCCTCTGGCACTGGCCTTGCCTGGGAACATAGAAACCACAGTGGACCAGATGCCCTGGTGAATCCATGGCAATCTCTAGGCCAACTTTCTCTCCACCATGCAGGGACATAGCTCTAGTTTCCTGGAGTACCACAGTCTTGGCACAGGACTGAGGACACAGAATGGTTCATGGTATCTGTTCAGCGGGAACTGGGCTTGTGGGCCTCCTTCCTGTCAGAGGCCTTCTCTCTGCTCTTGCATGGAGTATGCGTATGGAGAAGCACTAGTTCACTCCAACTGGCCAGAAACAAGCAGGATCTCATTAAAACCCCCTGGAGCTTATGATAGTAGTGGATCAAAAGAAGCTGGGTTGTTATATTTCTGGCCTAGGCTGGTGACCCCTGCCATGTACCCTCCCTCCTCTTCTCAGCAGCTGGAAACTCTGTCCTATGCCACCCATGTAGAAGGTTTCATTGCTGGCCATGGAGATGGCCTCCATAACCCTAAGTCCAGGAGATACAAGTTTGGGTTTGAGGGCTGAGTCTTCCACGCCATGCACCCAAGACCAAGTCTATAGCTTTTTCTAGTCCCAAATAGTACAATGAAAGCCATGAGTCCCCTGCACTTGCGATCTGGCCTAACCTGGGTTGGTGAAGGAATTAAAAGGGTCTCCCAAGCCACCAGAAGAAGGCACAATTACCCCAGGTTCCTAACAGCTGCCCATTGCAGCCTCTCCACCTTTTAGCAAGTACTGTAGGGTCCACTCCACCCCCCCCATCCCCAAGCAAGAAAGCAAGAGAGATGGTGGGGAACCAACACAGATAGGGTTCTTTTTGTGGGGGAGAAAATGTTCTATAATTGTATTGGATCAGAAAGGATCCCAAATGACTCAATTGTATATTTTACATGGGTAAATTATATACTACACCAATTATATATCTCAATAAAGTTGTTACCAAAGAAGGTGAGAGATCTAGGATGAAATACAGGAAGAGCTATAGCTCCTGATTGCAGTGTGAGCACTCAGCCAACCAAGCAGCTTTACAGCCACTACTACCAAGGCCCACTGGGCAGAGTACAGGGAGCTTCCTGGTAGGCAGGTAGGCAGCCGGAGAAGGAGGGATGTCCCTAGCTGCTTCCTCCAACAAGGACCCCAAGGACCCATAATAGTCCCTGGTTAAAGAAGCTGGGGAGGTAGTCCAACCTGGTAGGCCCTTGGGATGAAACCACAGAAATCACACAGGGAACAGTTCAATTATATGTTTATTGTGGAGAATTTTACATGCAAGAACCCAAACTAGAGAGATGGCATCTGGAGGGAGAGCCAGTGGGGTAGGTGGACACTCTGATGTCACTCTAAGCCTTCCAAGCCTTGACCCACCCTCCAGAACCAGCTCTGCCCACAGAAACACAAGACAGTGATGAGACACCAGACTTCTGGGACAAAGAGACAACAAACTCAACACATTCCTCTTTTCAATAGCCCCCAACAATCCTGAGAACCCTCACAAATGAAGTGCAAGCTTTAGGAAATAAATACCATCCCTGCTACCCAGGAGAGCTTGGAGGTTTGGGACATGGCAGGAGCAGTTCTGATGCAGGGCTGACAGGTTCCCCAGAAGATGCTTGGCAACTGGGAAGCCAGGCTTGGACCCCTATGGGCAGGTGGGATTGGAGATGGGCACAGGGCAGAATGGGGAGCATCTTTAGGTGGAAACATATTCCTCTGGGAGTGGCTGGTGCCCTGTGGCTGCCCTGTGTGGTGGAAGAACCCAGCTCTCCCAAGAAGAGATGGTGGAGAGGCCAGGGGCCTGACCCAGCAGTGCAAGAAGCTGAGGCTGGGCTCAGCTTCTTCCTCATGCTGCTCTTCTCTTGGCTGAGCCATCAGTCAGAAGAGAGCTTGCAGCAGGGCTAGTTGGGGCGGGGGGGGGGGGGGTGGTGTAGCAGCAAGAAGATGAGGGCAGGATCCCATACCACTGGGCCACACAGAGGCCTGCCACCATTCTCGAAGCTGCACAGTGCTGTCAGGGGATGGGTTCTTGCCTCCCAATGGGCTACAGTGAGAACACAGGCCTGAGAGCACGGGGTGGGGAGGGGAAGGGCAGTGAGCCAAGGCACAGTCACTCACAGAGGGGGCTCATAGACAAAAATGACAGGACGGACAGACAGTCACATTCCCCTCTGACCAAGGCCAGCAACAAGTCCCTTGTCCCATGTACTAAGAAACAAGTAGGTCACTCTCAGCCCAGCCACAGTCCACCTGCTCGAGGCCTGGGCTGGAACCACTCTGTGGTAGTCTTGCCAGAGGCCACTGTGCTGGGGTCAAACTGCAAGCAGTGACTTTTGTTTGTTGCTTCCCACTGGCCAAAAAGGTAGGCAGGAGGTTACTCTTCACACCTCAGCACACAATGAACAAAATAAAGGTTAAACATATCCCCAAGAAAATATTTTGACAAAATAAATATTTTAACCTATAATCAGGTATAATTAGTGCTTATGAGGCATCCCAGCAATAATTTAGTGTAATTAAGTACATACTGTATCTGTGATTTCTAACACTTATGGAGGCAGATGGCTTGCACGGGTCCAGGTCCAGCTTTCCCAACTAGTTCTGCTCCTTTCCTTACTAAGCTGGAGGCCTGAGGGGTATGCCCCCCACATGGAGGGCGAGGAAGGATCACAGGCCCCAGGATAGGGCAACCCATAAGGGATGAGTAAAACCCCCTTCAGGGCAGCTGGGCCTGCCCTTGCTTCTGGTGTGGGCCTCAGCCTGCAGGTAGGGCAGCTACCTCTGGACAGGATGTGAACAGAGGTATGTGAAAGCCACCAGAGGGGCTGTTCCAGGCCAGGAAGGCAGGAGTTTCTTGTCTGCATGGCTAATGGCCTCCTGGCAGCTCACAGGAGACCTCCAGTACCTGCTGCCTGTGGGGCAACCGGCTGGAGTCAGGGGATGGGAGCATCTCTGGACATGGGTACTAAGAGCAGCTTTGCTGGGGACCCCCTGAATTCAGGCAGGTCCCTGTACAGCCTTGCTTCCTACGGGAATCGATCGTCTTCTCTATGTAATACATAGGCAGGGAGGCTGCCTTTTCCCACAGAAGATGCTGGCCTGCCTCCCCACCACTCACCAGCTCTGGCAGGCTAACAGAAGTGGGGTCTGACCCTCACAGGATCACCCCACCAGACTATGCAAGGACTAGCTCTCTGGGTATGTAGGCTTCCATGCCAGCAACCTCCCCTGTAGTTTAACCCAACCAGCTCCTTTCAGAGGTCTTAACAGCCAAGCTTGCCTCAGGGGCTCTGCCCTTGAGAGACTGAGAGAGGGGCCTGGGTTGGCCAAGAGCTGAGAATCAGAAGGTGGAGTATGGCAGATGCTCAGAGGATTGGACAGGAAGCAGGCTGGCTGAACTTGGGAAGGTGCTTCCAGGGTATCCTCTGCAGTATGAGTATTATATCCCCTACTGGTTCTGTTAAATGGACCCAGTATGCAGGCCTCCTTCCTAGAGGCTGCTGGAGGGGTACTGGACAGCATGGAGTCCTGGGGCAGGACCATTCCTGCCCTCAGCCTTCACTGCAATCCTGGTTATAAGAGCATCACAAAGTGCTGCACTGGTATTTTATCCCTCAACGCCTGGCCTCCTCTCTGTGATAAGGTTGATCTCTGGTGGTGACAGGGGGAAAGGATGATCACATCATGAACACATGGTAACCTGGGTTGCCAGAGAGTACAGTGAGCAGGCCCTAAGACTCAGGTGGGGCTGCTGCTGCTACAACATTTGTTTTCTGATAATGGCAGCTTAGGGAAGGACAGGGTTGGACCAGGACATGGCTAATGCTGAGTCCGTTGCCTGGGGCCAAAAAAACACCAGCAAGGACACAGAACAGGAGCAGGTGTCACCAGCCCCCATCTGCTCAGCCTTAGGCTGTGGCCTTCAAGTGGGAAGTGGGGGCTAGGGGACATGTAAGGTGGGAGGGATCATTCTGTCAAGACAGCTGGGAAGGAGGCTGCAGCCCCTTCCAGGGAGGGCAGAAGGAACTTAGTGTCATTCTAGCCATTCAGTCATTTGGAGCCTCCAGGCATGGTGCATAGCTGTTTGCTACCAGGCCTGGGTATGGAGGCTGCTACAGGCCAGGCCAGTGCTATGGGCATGGTACAAATGCAGCAAACCCACATCATCTTCCCACATATGCCGGAGCCATGCCTCTCATACAATCCTCTCCAACACCAGGGTCAGGTGTGGGGGTGATGTGCAAAGTATCCACGGGGGCCAGTTAGTTTGTAGCGGAGCTTGCTACTCAGCATGCCTTGTGGCCAGAGTTTACAGGTTGCATGCTGCCTCCCAGATGCCCTTGGCTGTTCCTACACCAAGAGCCAAAGGTCCTTCTGGGCCCTTTGGTTCAAGACTTAGCTGCTGAACCAGCACAGGCATGAGGAAGGAGCTGGCAGCCCACAGAGCCCTCTAAAGTGCCAACACATAAAGTGTCACAAGGTGACACACAGTCCAAGGAAAGAGACTGAGCCTATGGGCACAACTGAGCCTTGCCCTTCCAGAGATGTGACACCAAGCCCTTTCTGGAAGAGAGGGGCACAGGGGAACAGCATGCCTGAGGAAAGCCACTGAACCAGGAGGAGGTGGGCGCATGTGGCAGGGCTAGAACCTGACCCATCTCTACTGGATATAATGAAGGGGACAGTTCAGATGCTCTGTTCAGGATTACCAAGTGGGGGCTGCCCTTCTTGGGGCTGGGCCACTGGCTCTTCCTGGGATGACCCAAGGCCAATGGAGCCCATGCAGGTAGGGGAAGGAAGCCTCTGGCTGCCACTGTCCCACCACCTAGAGAAAAGAAGGTGACAAAAGCTGGTCCTGACTAGGAGAGGTCTGGGAGCAAACACAGTGGTGTTTCCATGGAGACACAGGTGTGCAGGCCGAGGGGCTGGGGAGCAGTGGCCAGTGCCCGTGTCCACTAGGGGAACCAGCAGTGCCCTGCCAATCAAGGGAGGCAAACCACAGAACAGCTCACAGGGCAAAGAGGGCATCCTCAGACCGCTCTGGCTTCTTTCGACCAGAAGGGTTGGAGGCTGGCGCAGGGGCTTCCATAGGGGGTGAGGGAAGGTCAGGAACCATTTCAGCAGCTTTGGCTCTTTCTTCCAGGAACTTATCAAACTCTGCAATATAAACCAAGGCAAGGCACAGGGTTAGTGGGAGATACAGCCTTCTTGTTTTCTAGGGTATGCTTTATTTCTCCCCACTGAGGCCAACCCAGCAGGAGATCTCCACCTCTAGCTTGAGAGGGTACCATGTTGCCCTAGCTGCCCTCTGTCCAGAGGCAGGAATGGCAGGGCAAGCTGCGGGTCAGCACCATTGATTCTGTGCCTTTCCAGCTTGGGGATCAGTCTCAACAAAGTTAGTCCTCTCTCCCATATCTACTTGCAAGGGAAGCAGGAAGCCCAACTTGAAGCTGATGATAGGGAAAGGATCTGACAGCCCGCAGGCTCTGCAGGAAAAGTTTGGGGAAACACAGCCCAGAGAACTTGCCCCATCAAGGACTTAGATCTCTATTTTCCAAATCAGCATAGGGCCAGGGAGGGAGGAGGGAAGGAAGATTCTTTACTGGCCTGACTGACCAGGGTTGGGACCCAGATGGCAAGCTGTGGCAACTATTAGTTTTCCCAGTGAAAAATCATGTTTTGTTTTTCCCCTTATAGGAGATGTTACTTCCTATATCATCACAACCCTGAAGGACACAGCTCAGGGACTTAGCACTCATAAAAACTTCGGCAACAGAGGCTCTATGAAGAGGTGGGCCCAGTACTTGTATAGCCCCAGAGACTAGGGTGGAAGAGAAAAGGGGCCTGCAAGGTCACTGGCTGGGCTTACCTTCACTTGTAACACCCTCTTCCAGGTCATCGCCCTTCTGTTGGAGGAGCAGATAGAGTAGCATTAGGGTTTGTCCTAGCCTTGCCTGCCCAGCCACCTCTGCCCATCCATGACCACTTGATTGGCACATCTCAAAACGAACAAAACTTTATTTTTGTAATAGCAAAATACTGCTCTTCTTATTAGAAGCAGAAATTTTGTTAAACAACAACAACCACAAAGATAAAGGGAATAGGAAACAAAACCAAACAGGTTCTAAGTTTTGATCCCTCATAAGGGCCAGAAAACAATTTTTTTTTAAAAAAAAGTATAAGCTGGGTCCCTCTCCTGGGGTGAGGATAAGACCCCACCCATTGATTCTTTGAAGGCTCTGGACAGAAGCCAGGGTAGTCACAGGAGGCTGAGGTGTACCAGTGTCTCCAGATGTGCTCCTCTGTGCAGTATCTGCTCACTGTCAGTGTGGGGATCTGGGAAGACACTGTCCCCAGCAATAGCTAGGGGCTGCTTGGAGCCTGGATTGCCCCCGTCCCCCGACCAGTTGGTACTTTGGCAGTGGGAGCTCTGTCTCCTAGAAGCCTGAACAGAGCCTTCCCCTGTGGTTTAGACCTGAATCCTTCTGCCAGCTCCTTGAAGGGAGTCTGCTGGGAACATTGTTAGACAAGATTCTCCTTTCTTTCTTTCTTTTTTTTTTGGGGGGGGGGGTCCGGTCGTGGGTCCTGAACTCTGGGCCTGGGCGCTGTCCCTCAGCTCTTCAGCTCAAGGCTAGCGCTCTACCACTTGAACCACAGTGCCACTTCCGGCTTTTTTTCTTTTGTGCTTATGTGGTGCTGAGGAATGGAACCCAGGGCCTCATGCATTCAAGGCTAGCGCTCTACCATTGAGCCACCTTCCCAGCCCAAGATTCTCCTTTCTGAGTCTTAGGTCCCTTGAAAAGGGAGGGTTTCAGCACTTCCTGCTCTTCCTCTGTGAAGGAAGCTATTTCTTTTCTGAGCATCCTTTAGGAAAAACCATGGGACACGATTTTTTCCCCCCTGACACCAGGTTAGCTGTCTCTTTTAGCTAGTGAGTGTCTGTGGAAAGCCTGGCCTTCCAGGAAGGGGAGAGATCCTAATTGTCAGAGGCCTGCTCTCCTCTTGTGGAAGATGGCCCAGTCACCAGCCTGGGTCTCTAGATCTGGGAAGAATTCAACCTAGCCCATGACCCTGGGAAAGCCACATCTCCCCACAGGAAACTTCTTCACTGGACACTGACCAACTCCTTCCCTTCTCAGAGCTACAAACTTTGTAAGGAACAGAGGGATGAACCTGTAGCCATTTTTAGATGCATAACATCCTTGGCTTTCATCCTGTTTCTTAGAATGGAGATAACACTCTTTGGGGGAAGGTTTTTTTTTTCCCCCCAAAAAAAGCACTAGAAGATACTGGGCAGGGGGATGACAGTGAATTAAAAAAAGAAATCCTCTCAATTCATCTCTCTATATTTCACAATTAAAAAAAAAAAGGACTGAGGACATAGCTCAGAGTTATACTTGTCTAGCATGCACAATGCCATGACTTCTGTCCCCAGCACCGCAAAAACTGAAATTGAAATAAAAATAAAACAGAAAAATTACATTTAAAAATGAAAACAAAAACAAACAGAAATACTCCCCTAACCCCCAAGCACACACCTCCTTGAAATCAATCCAGAGGAGTCACCCAACGCTGGGTCAGCAGCTTTGCTCCCAGACAGTGGGATGTCAGGAAGGACCTGCCCACACCTGTGCAGGACTGTGTGGATGAGGAACTGTACCCTGACCCCACCCATCACTGACCTCCAGAAGTCTTCCACAGCACCCCTTGCCAAGGCCAAGCACTGGGAAGGAAGGTGGCTGCGGAGGCTGTGATAGACCTGACCCTCCTCCACCCACAGATGGGGGCTCATCAGCCCCCCATCCTCAGAGAACTTCTGCCTAGCCACTCCCCGTACACAAAGTATAAAAATCGAGTCTCACCAGGTCCGTCCTGAGCCACACCTCAATGTCGTCCATGACAGAGGGCTGCGAAACGGGGATCTATGGAGGCGGCAAGCAGCGGGGCCAGGCAGCCCCCACACAGCCAGGCAGGAGAAGACAGAACACCGGAACAAAATAAATCGTCAAAAAGCAACCCCCAAATGAAACCAAAATGTACACAGCAAAACAAAAAAACAAAAAACAAAAAACCACAATTGCATGGCACGCAGGGCAGCACAGGGCAGCCATATGTGAAATGGCAGGCGAGGAAAGCAAAGGAGGTGGCAAACAGTCAGAAGCAGAGGCCCGTGGCAAGGAAGTACACATTCTTAATATGGATAACTTTTTGACTGCATGTGTCTCTTCTTGTAATCACAGGTACAAAGCACCTTCTACTCTCAAGAATGTGGTTGTCTTATAGTAGTCATGACAGCCCAGGAGAACCAATTGCCCTGAATCAAGCCCAGCCCAGGGAGTGACTCCAGGAGCCAAGAGGGGCCTCCCCCATACTCAGAGTGGGATGCAGGTATCAACCAGCCTTGGAAGACAACTGGGGCTCTGTTGGCTCTGTTTAATAGGTTGCCAAGTCCATCTGTCTGGATTATATTGTAAGTGGAAGGAGGAGCCAGGGGCTGGAGCTCCACTGGCTTGGGTGTGGCATGGTTGACAGAAAGGAGGCCTGCTTTACTACCAATAGAAATGTGGCTAAAATGAGGGTTTTAATGACAAAGGGAACTGCAAGGCTTCACTGCTAAAACGAAGGCTTTGGTGACAAAAAGACTGCCAGGCTTTAGTCTTTATGTCTCCTCAGGGGGGAAAAAATAATCACACAGTAGCTCTGAACACAAGTTTCCTTTAGTCTCATGCTTTCTACTTTCAACAGTAGTCTCCTGCAGTCAAAGAAAAGAACTGGGAGCAGTGACCAGGGCACTGGCAAGGTGACAGGGCTCCCCTACAAACCTAATAGATGCCTGACAAATTACAACCTGGACTTTTGAGCCTCAGGCAGAGATTCTGAAAAATTCATGTGACTAAAACAATTTATGTTGTCAACTATGATGTGATAAGAAGTGAAAGTGGCCTTTAACCCCTTCGAAGCCACTTTAATGAGATAATTGGCACCCAGTCCAGACAAATAAGGTGACAGCCCTTAGTCAAGGGCCTTGTTCCTTACCTATCCTGGGCCTAGGAAGTAATTTTGGAGAAGAGGGGAATGTCTTAATTGACTACTATTTCTAGAAAAGAAAAGCTAGTGTACACCTATTGCTGTCTATACCTCAATGTCCTAGAGTAATGATAAAGTTTAAACAAGCAGTAAGAAGACTGTCTCAGTGTAAACTAATTCTAAAAAATGACTCAGCCTTAACAAAGGAAAAACAGAAAATTCCTACAACCGGCCCTGGCCTGACTAGTCTTGGAGGCTGACATCTGCTCCCGAAGAGGGAAGGGTTTGGGACTTCAGGTGGAGCATGCACAGTCTGAGCAGGTGCCTGCAGTGTTGTGAGAGCCCCTCCCTCCCTCTGTGAGCTGTCAACCCAGGCTCTGAACCTGCTCTGTGTCCTATCTGCAACCAGACGTGGGCAGTCACATAAGTATTTTCAGAATGCCAAACTACCCACTGACCAGATTAGGCAGAATCTCTCTATGTTGCCATTTTATCCTTTCTGGGGGACTGCAGACTGTTGAACTGAGAACATTCCTGCGAGTTCTTACCACCCTGATATGAATGCTAGGGATAAAATATGTGACTACTCACTCAGGGTGGGGACATGAATGCTCCATGGCTGTGCCAACAGTGCTTAAGGCAGGCACCCACCTTCCCTGTCAAAGAGCAGCAGGACACAGCGGGTGCAGCCTGCTATCCGATGCTTGCTGGCAGGCCTTCTGCCTTGACACATTCCTGGAACAAGGAGATGCCATTTTCATGATCTTGATGCCTCTAAATCTTAATGCCTGGCTCAGAGAGGATGTGTGCCATGCTGAGTCCCAACACCAAGGCTCAGCCAACCCCTCAGTTGCTAGAGCACTCTTACATGGCCTTCCTTTGTTTGTATGTATGCAGCATGAACCACCCAGAAGAAACTGAGACTCCATGTACTGAGCTTTTCCCTTCTTTTTTTTTTCTCCTTTGCAGTATCCAGGATGGAACCCAGGGTTTCATGCATGCTAGGCAAGCTCTACCACTGAGCTTCTTTTCTGACGTGTTGCTAAAATTTGAAAAAAGCCTCTAAGAGAAGCTGGGTGTGATGGTACACACCTGCAATGCCCAAACTCACAAGGCTAAGGAATGCTAGCTGTCAGTGGCTCATGCCTGTACTCTTAGCTATGCAGGAGGCTTAGGTCTGAAGATTGCAGTTCAAACTCAGTCTAGGCAGGAAAGTTTGTGAGATTCTTATATCCAATGAACTACTCAGAAAAAGCCAGAAGTGTACTCTGGCTCAAGCAGTAGTGTACTAGCCTTAAGCACAAAGAGGCTCAGGGACAGTATCCAGCCAGCATAAATAATAAGAAACTTTAAAAAGGAGCTGGGAAGGTGGCTCAGTGGTAGAGCGCTTGCCTTGTATGCCTGAGGCCCTGGGTTCAATTCCTCAGCACCACATAAGCAAAAAGGAAAAAGCTGGAAGTGGCACTGTGGCTCAAGTGGTAGAGTGCTAGCCTTGAGCTGAAGAGCTGAGGGACAGCGCCCAGGCCCAGAGTTCAGGCCCCACAACCAGACCCCCCCCCCCAAAAAAAAAGAAACTTTAAAAATCCAGTAAGTAACCATGGGTTTAAAAATGTTTAGTTTTTTTTCCTTACAATTTTTTTTTTGTTACTGTTAAACAACAGAAGGCTATTAGTGGAGCTCAGTGGCAGAATACTTGCCTACCATGGGTTTAATTTCCAGTGAGGTAAAAATAAATAAATCCTTGGATATGACATCATGATTAAATTTTCTTCTTTGAAGACTAATCTTGACAGATATCATGCAAAACAAAACATCAACAAAAAAACACCTCACACTATTGCTCTCTTCCTAGATGTACCTGAAACTTATGAGTAATGTGTGGAATGGCACCCTCCAGACCAGTCTGGGAGCCAGGCAGAGCATGAGAGGGAGAGCATAGGTAAGGGTGGTGCTGGCTCCAGTTGGGCCACACCTCTCACTGGTGGAAGCTTGGGGTGAGTTGCTTCTCTTAGACCCTTCACTGGGTTGAAGAAACCTTTAGTTTCTTCACTGGGTAGTTCCAGCTTCTTTTAAGAAGCCTTAGACTTGTGGGTGAAAAGGCAGGCACAATTTCTTCATCTGTGGAATAAGGTGATTTATAAGGTTACATTTAATTTTCAACACTCCTGGAGTCAGAATACCTTAGCTTCCAAGTTGGTGCTTCTGTTCCCTAATGCTGACACCCAAGGAAGTTAGAACATTGGAACTGACTTTATAGTAAAGCTACCAGGCCTCAGAACATGAACCTCTGAGGATCAAGGGTGCTGGTTACCAGGTAAGTTTGTCTAACATAAGACAGGATTGACTTTCTTGTGCTGGGATGTAAAGCCTTAGCTACAAAAATCTGCTCTGGTCAATAAGTGTGTGGAGTATTTTAACAGGGTCAAATCCCTTCTAATCATCCAAGTGCTAGGAGATCTAGACTGAACACATATACTGACATAAAAATATAACAGAGAGGCTGAGAGGGAGGAAATCCCTTTTCTAGGCTGGAGAGAAGTGAAGAACCCTGGCTACAGAAGGGTGCTGAGTCTTAGGGGACTAAGTATCTCTACCCTGTGGTTTTAGACAAGTCCTCAGGCCCTTGGAAGGCCTCAGCATCAATCTATCAGACCAGAGACTGGCCCAGAAGATCTCTAGGAGGCCTGTTGGCTTTGAAACACCATGGTTAAATGGTCTTGGGCACTGATCCGAGTGGCAGGCTGGCTCAAGGTGTCTGAAAAAGAGTAGGTATTGGACAAGGGAGACAAAGAAGAAAGAAAGATGTGAAGAGAGACTATAAAGGCAAGTGATAGAATGCTTGCTTAGTATGGAGCTTGCTCTGGGGAGCTCAGCATTGAGGGCCCTGTATACCCCTATCCCATGGGGACTAAAGCTTAAAGTTGAATCTTGTAAAGAGAGAAGCCGGGATAGCAGGGTGATTGCCCTGGTAACCTCTATCTGCACAGTAAAAATGAAACAGGCAACTCACATGCCCAGGAGGGAGATTCAGATCTGGGCGGTAGGCTGCTGTTCTGCTGCAGGTTCTTACCTGAAGGGCAGGTAATACTACCTTGTCTCAGGACAGAGAGAGGTGCTGCCATCAGATCATCCCAGACAGTGCTCTCTGGGCTGTGTCTGGGGGTCTCCTAGGGTTACTGAAAAGGAGGGACATGGACAGTCCTAACTTTAAGCTAAGTTTTGTAGCAATAGGTTCTCTTCACTAACCTAATTTTGCTCTTGCTTTGACTTACATTTGTTTTCACCAGGACATCTTCCTGATTCTGTAGCTTGCAAATAGGAGCTAGCCCAGCTGATCAGCAACCAGAAGAAGCAGAGATCAGGGGCCAGGGAGATAGGGAAGGATGAGTCAGTGGCCCAGGACCAGTTCATACAGATCTCGTTTTAGTTCAGCTAGCAATGGACCTAACTTTTATGCTGGATAGTCAACAGCTGAAGTCTCAAGAGAGGAAGACCCTAATGAGGCACTCCTCCACAGCTGGACTCAAGTCCATTTGACTTTCAATGCGATGAGAGCAAGGGGAGGCTATGAAACTCACCCCATAACACTTCAGCTAGCCCAATGCGGGGAAGTGTCTAAAAGCCTCTGTCCTCAATCAATAGTACAAAAAGTTTCCACGTAAGAATTTGTACTCAGGAAGTTTGGAAAGACTCAAGGTTTCTATGCTATGGGGCATAAGGCGAAGCAATTAATAAACATTTTAATCATTTGAATATCATTAAAAACCGCAGGCAGGAGGGTGAGACACCAGGTTAGCTGTTAGTTGGGTTTGTTTCTGAGAAATTGGAGACTGGAGTGCTACTGAGGACAGGCATTAGGGAGGCAGCTAGTGTGGGCAGAGGCAGATGTTACCACTAGCTGCCAAGTCCACACTCTGTAGTTTGAAGGGCAGTATCCTTTTTTGCAGGATTATTAGGCACAAGGGTACATGGGCTGGATCTTCCCAATTTGGACAGTGAATTATACATGGTTTCTAGGAACCTGTTCTAAGGTCAGAGTCTACCATGTTCCTGAAGAAGCCTATGAGGGGTCTGGCCAGCTTACCCTTTGAGGAATGATGTTAGGGATGATGCAGGAACTACTGCTTTCTCATTCAAGGAGAGAGAGTGCCGCTAATGCAACTGCCATCAGCCCTTACATAGGCAGGTGGCCTTTGTGCTGCCTATATAGTCTTGGACCTTCTTGCCCTACCAAGTACCTGCTTGTCTTGGTTCTTCACCTGACCACATCCTGGCCAGTGTCCAGGGGTGATCCTGTGTCTTTCCCATCCCACCTACCTGGAAAGCAGAGCCCTACATATCCCTGTCTATCACCAGTTCTTCTCTGCGTCCTCACTCACTCTGGCCCCTCCACATGCACGTAGAGCTTTGGCTCTGTGTTGGAGGTGAACTGGTCACCCCAAGACAGTCAGGGATGAGGTCATTTCTCTCCCAAGGCTATCCATTTGGCCCAGGGCTACCTGAAACAGATAAGGTAAGACAGTTCCTCCCAGGGTTCTATGCCTCAAAAGCACCTCTAATTAAGAACTAACTATGCTTAGGGAATTGAGTTCCTCCAACTTTGTCTTCTTTTAACTCTATCCCAACAGTGGGTGTGAATTTCTGTAAGAGGTTTCAAGTCCTTTGGGGAGCTTAAGTGAACATAAGTAACTATTATAAAAGCCCACCAAGCCTAGGACTGCAAAATTCCCATTAGGCTAGAGAGGCCTTCCTTGATTAGCCAGAAAAGCCTGTTCCCTTACAATGGTGTCCCCATCCCCAAGCACAAGCCACAGTGGTCCTGCTTATCCTGGAAAAACGAATACTGCCAGCGTTCTAGAGATAGTCAAGAGGAGGGATGGGCCCTCCCCTCACTCCTGCTAGTATCACATCATGAAGGCCCAGGGCCATGGGACCCAACAAAAACCCAGAGGTATTTCTGGGGCTGAAAGCCTGAGGCTTTAGAAGATTATATATAGATAGGAGGGGAAATTTGGCACCCCTGTCAGAAGGAGCGAGTATGACTGTATCCCATCTGATCACAAGGGCTAGGCAGGTGGCAAGAGGAAGGCACTGTTACACAGGTAAGGGGCTAGGGTGGGCAGCGGGCTTGCTCAGCTGTGGCTCCTCACCATTCCTTGGGACATGAGCCAGCTGTCTATGGGCTCCAGGTCAGAGTCCCCACCTTTCCCTCTCTGCTGGGCCAAGGACAGAAAGGTCCCAGAAAGAAAAGTCACAGCAAGACCCATGATAAAGAAGTCATAGCACATATTGTGGAAATAGAAAAGTCACTGTTCAGATTTGATGGTTAGTCCTGTGAGGAAATGTGACCAGATGCCCCCCCACCCCCCACCCAGGAACATCCTCTTACCTGCTTGGAAAAAAGAAGGAAAGTTTAGTAGCCATGAATCCCAGCAGGATAATAAATACTCATACCGACTACTGAACATCTGGAAAGTCTCTGAGGTCACATGTTACCCTAGACTGCTTCTCATGCATTTAGAGACACCAGGCAGGATGAGCAAGGGATCCCACAGAAAAATTCAATTTTTTTTTTTTTGTTGTTGTTGTTGTTGTCAGTCATGGGGCTTGAACTCTGTGCCTGGGTGTGGTCCCTCAGCTCTTCAGCTCAAGGCTACTGTTTTATCACTTGAGCCACAGCACCACTTCCGGCTTTTTCTGTTTATGTGGTGTTGAGGAATCGAAGCCAGGGCTTCATGCACATGAGGCGAGCACTCTACCACTGAGCCAACTTCCCAGCTCAAAAAAAATCCAATGCTACAAGACTATTTCTACATTTTCCTTATTCCTGAATTTTTCTCTTTTCTTTCTGTTAGTCTGTTCTTTTCCTAAATTCTTAATTTGAATGCTGTTGGGTATATCTTTTATTGCTTATTTATTTATTTTTGTTTTTGTGGGTTGGGAATGGAACCCAAGGCCTTGAAAATGCTAGGCAAGCAGTTTACCACTGAGTTACATCCCTAGCCCTATACCCTTTTAATTAAATAAATAAATATTTTGTGTGTGTGTGTGTGTGTGTGTGTGCTGGTCTTGGGGCTTGAACTCAGGGCCTACGTGCTGTCTCTGAGCTTTTCTGCTCAAGGCTAGCATTCTACCACTTGAGCTACAGCTCTACTTCCAGCTTTTTGGTAGTTAATTGGAGATAAAAGTCTCACAGACTTTCCTTCCCAGGCTGGCTTTGAACTGTGATCCTCTCAGATCTGAGCCTCCTGAGTAGCTAGGATTACAGGTATGAGCCACCAATGTCTAGCTACTGCCTTTTTCTAAGTGATAAAAGTATTTAAAGTAGGGACAGCTGACATGATAGGATCTTACTGTGGAGGTGTGAGTGCACAACATGCTCTCCTTTATTGTGCTCTCAATTTCTCTCTTGGCCCACTTTTCTTTTCCAGGTCAACATGGCTTGGGAGGGGCCAAGAGAGCCTATACAATATATGTGTAGACACATACACAGACACACGTAGCCAACACATGTCCAGCCACCTACTGAGGCTGTGCCTAGCCCCGGTGAGCAGCAACAGGAGAAACTATGCCTATCACCATGGGGCAAACTTGCTAGTTAAGACCTTTGAAATTAAGGAGCCAGGCCAAGACACACACTCAAAGGGTAAAGGGTGAGAAGTCATCCACATCTCCCGGACTTGGACCCAAGCCTGGGTACTGATAACAGCAGGGGTGAGGCAGAACGTATGTTGGCATGATGGGGCAAGCCCTAGAACCAGAATGGACAGCAAACAGCCTTGCTGATAGATGAAGTTAATCTAGGCCAGGCCAGGGCCAGGCAGAAGGAGGGGGCACCCTCACGAAGCAGTATGCTGGCAGACCTCAGCTCAGCTCTCTAATGCCAGGTTAGGTGCCAGGACAATCTAGCTAATGGGAAAATGAGCTATGACTTGCATGGATGGGGAATGGCACTGATGGTCCCTGCTATAGAAGAGTAGGGTGCTGAGAACCCAAGGCATCTGGCCAGTTCTTCTGCGCCCCCTGGTGACAAGTGCCAAGGATGCATGTTTTCAGATCAAGTTGGCTAGGTTAGCTTGGGAGTTTTCTCCCCACGGGCAAACTTTCTCATGACATCAGGCAGAAGCCAGACAGCCTGTCTGGGCCCACTTAAACAAGAACTGCAAGAGGCAAGGAACCGGTATTTGGGAAGCAGAGAGCCCTATGCAAACCTTCCTGTCCAGCAGACGGGTAGGTATTGCTTCCTTCTACCAGGCCTAGGGGTCCTGGCAGGAGTTCCAGCTGTGTTAGACAGTTGCCATGGCAACCCTCCTCTTCCCTGTCCTGCAAACATGAATGCATTCATATACCTCCTAGTCAGGCTCACAGAGAAAAATCTTGTAAGAAGTATTAGACATTAACACTTTACCCTTCTATGATATGAAGTTGTAAAGAAACTTGGCTGTATTTTGGGGATGCAAATGCCAGCCTCCACTTCAAAGTGTCCCCCTCCTTGGCTTTGTTTTTTCCAAGCCTGGAGTTTTCCAAGGCAGCCTCCTAGCCTCCTCTAACTTCCTTAGCTCCCCAAACAAGTCCTGACCACCAAATTGCCTTCTACTAGCATTGGCACTGCTTGGCTAGGCCAGCTGCCAACGGTCATCAGAGTGACTCAGATCAGCATTCATCTTCCTTATGAAGGAAATGCACACTCCCCCAAGGCCTTGTCATGTGTGGGGAGAATCCTATGTACACATAGAATAGGAGCTATGAAGCTGGACACTCCTAGGGTAGAATCCCCATATGCTTCTGCTCTCCAAGAATCCCTTGGTTTGTCTGCTGCCTCTCTGGGTTGGTTTCCTCTTACGTATTACAGGAATGTCACCTCACAGTATAGGGAGACTCAATGAGGCATTATTTGGTGGTACACAGTTACTTTAAGCATCTCTCTGGCAGCGCAGCAAGTCCTGACTATCTACATAAGCAAGCAGCTGCCGAATTATCCAGATAGCTTTGCCAAATGGCTTGTCTTTCCCTCCAGAAGACTCTGGGCAGAAGAACAGTTGAAGACCTACCACTTCCGAGTTCTGTTTCCGACTGTCTAATGCAGAAGCGAGTCCTCCAACAGCCTGAGGATCCTCATAGGTGACCCTAGAGAAAGTGGTGGGAGCAGAGGTGAGTTCTTCCCCCAGTGAACTCAGGAGGTGGGATGGAGATCTGTAATTACTTTCTATCCCTTGGTACCTTCTTTGTGTGACCTTGGACTTGGGTATAGGTTGAAGGTTCATGCTGTCTTTCTGCAGCTGAAGCAAAGAGGCTGGCTTTTAGCACAAGCTTACCACCCAACTCCTCTGAGACCTGGAATATTGTGTGTTTCAAGGTCCCATTCTTGAATAACGATCCAAGGGCCTCTCTGTCAGGATGTCAAATGTGTCCCAAAACTCCTCAGAGGATGGAGTTTACATAAAGGCAAAGTAATATTAATTCTGATTTTATAAGCAGCACCCGCCTTTAGGCTAAAAAGAAAGCTCAAAGTATGTTCTATGCCTAAGAATCAGGGGTTTGTGTATTTTGGAATCAACTCTTTCAATTCCATATGGCTCATCCTTGCCAGAATTATTGCTGGAGAAGCTTCTTCCCTAACCACTTATTTTAGGCAGCTGAATCTTTTTATTTGCTTGTAATAGGGTGGCTTCAATCTCTTGGTCTTCCTGCCTTAGTCTCTCACATGCTGGAATTATAGCTATGTACTACCATGCCCAGCAGGCAGTTAAATCTTACTACTAGGAACCTGTCTGGGTCACTGTCTGGCTGTACCCTCCCAAGTCTGAACTCCTGAATGTGAGGAACTTGAGCAAGGCAGTGCCTCATTCACAGCATGAGCAGGAAAGAAAGAAACATAGTCTCTTGTGACTGAAAGAAGAATGACACCACAGTCAACCCTAAGGGCAGAGGAGAGGGGAAGGAGGGGAGCTGGAATTCATTGAGTACCAGCAGTGAATGCCAAGTCCTCACAGCTATATTTTTAAGTTCCTGGCAGTCTTGGATCTGGTAAATAAAAGGCTTCTTTGTGATGGCCTGGGACCAGGCCTGAGTCCACTCTCCCTCACCCTCCAATATCTTTTGATAGCACTGGAAGGGGCCCCACATACGTCTTGCGCTGCTCTGCCAAGGAGTTCCCTCTGGTCTGGGCAAACATGTCAAAGCCGTCACGAGGATTACACTGTTGGAGTGAACTAAGGGTACCACTGACGCTCTCTGTCCCCAAGTCTGTGACAACAAAACAAGAGGCAGATGAGAACAAAATCTGAATTATGAACCTGGTGGTAGGCCCCAAGGCCAGCAGTTCAGCCGGTAGATTAAGGGCCTAGAGGGGGACAGGGCTATTCTCAGCACTCCTGAGACAGGACAGGCTCAGGAAGGGGGGGTGGAAGCAGGACAGCCACTGCTCCTAAGGCTGATCAAGGAAAAAAACAGGAGATTAGAGTTAGAAGGGAGGCTGCTGGCAATGACAGCAAGGACAAGGGCCATCATATTTCACCATTTCTACCATGACATTGCCAGAGTGCCCTGTGTTCATTGAATCACATTATATAAGGACTTGGGCCATTCACTCATTGTTTTGTTTTTGTGCTGGTCCTGGAACTTGAACTCAGGGCCTGGGCACTACCCCTGAGCTTTTTTGCTCAAAGCTAGTACTCTACTACTTGAGCCACAGCTCTACTTCTGGCTTTTTTTGGTTATTAATTTGAGATTAGAGATTCACAGGCTTTCCTACTCCAGCTGGCTTTGAACCATGATCCTTAGATCTGAGCCTCCTGAGTAGCTAGGATTACAGGCATGAGCCACCAGTACTGGGATTCATTCATTTGGCAGATACCCCTTATGTACCTGCCATGTTCAGAGACACACCTCCAAGGGACCAAGGTGGAATTTGACATGGTTCTGGCCTCAGGAGCTCACTAAGTAGTTGAATACGTAGGTATAAATGAATATATATTTATATGTCTATGCATATGAATTCATACGTATACAAACATATGTATTTATGTGTATCTCATTTCCTTCCTTCCTTCCTTCCTTCCTTCCTTCCTTCCTTCCTTCCTTCCTTCCTTCCTTCCTTCCTTCCTTTCTTTCTTTCTTTCTTTCTTTCTTTCTTTCTTTCTTTCTTTCTTTCTTTCTTTCTTCTCCAGTCTTGGAGCTTGAACTCAGGGCCTGGGCACTGTCCCTGAGCCTCTCTGTACTCAAGGCTAGTACTCTACCACTTGAGCCACAGCACCACCTCTGGCTTTTTCTGTGTATGTGGTACTGAGGAATCAAATCCAGGGCTTCATGCATGCTAGTCAAGCACTCTACCACTAAGCCACATTCCCAGCCCATATACATACTTTCACTATGGAAAACTAGAGTTTTTTCTTTTTCAGATCATGGAACACTTTAGATTGCTGGTATAGTTTGAGGAGGGCAATTAAGTGGGTATTCCTACTTCCTGTTTTTCAACCCACTGCAGACATTACCAATCAATCACAGATTCTTTTTTTTTTTTTGGCCCTGATGTTGCTTTAGTATTCTTTTCAACTTGTGTTCTAAGAAGCTTCACTGTGAGGAGAAACCTATTTGACATCCTCAGCCTAGTTAATAGTGAAAAATCACTTCAACCTCAGATTTCAATAAAATAAAGTAGCTTTTTTTGTTGTTTTCTTTTTTTAAGGGAACAATTAGGCAGGCACCGGTTGCTCATGCATGTAATTGTAGCTACTCAGGAGGCTGAGATATGAGAATCACCATTTGAAGCCAGCCAGAGCAGGAAAGTCCATAAGACTCTTATTCCAATTAACCACCAGAAAAACCAGAAGTGGCACTGTGACTCGAGTGGTGGAGCACTAGCCTTGAGCTGAAGAGCTGAGGGACAGCGCCCAGGCCCCGAGTTCAAGCCCCATGACAAAAATAAATAAATAAATAAATAAATAAAAAAAAGGAACAACTTACAAATCCTTGGAACCTCCCCCATGTCTGCTTTCCAACACAGATTTAAACTTCAAATTTAAGGTAAGAAATTAAGGAACTGAAGGTGATACATTTGGCCAGGACTCAGGAACATACTTTCACATGGATTTCCTAAAAGACTCTCTTCTAGCCTTCCAACAAAGGGAGAAACATTGAGACACTCACCCAAACCTGCAAGCTGAGAGGAAAGGGAAGATGGGGGTGCTGTGCTCCCCACCATGGGGCTCACCACAGCAGGAGAGCCAGGACCCAGGTCTATTAAGTTGTCTTCAGTAACTTCGTTCAGTACCTGTCAGGACATGAAATGGGCAATGAGATCCAAGCCCTTGAGTTAGTTTTGAGGTAAAAGCAGGTAGAGACCTATGCTAGACTATGCTTAAGGAAAGGCATCATTCACTGCCCAACACAGATGCAAAGTAGTTCTCCTTACCCACCTTTAGGGCCAACAGTGGGCCTAGGCTGTTGGTGAGCTCCATGCCTGAGCTTCCTCCCCTTCCCCACTTACAGGAGGCACAATGAGTCACCAGGGTAGTGACTGCCCTGGGAACTTAAAGCTATCCCATTGGGGTACTTGCTGGCTCTCCCTCTGTTTTTCTTTAAACAGAACTTGCTCTGCAGCTACCTAAGCATTTTAGTGTCTGTTTAAAAAACAAGAAACAAACCTAGAAGTGAAGCCCAACTAGGATAGCTCTTGTGTGTGTGTGTGTGTGTGTGTGTGTGTGTGGTGTGCTACCTCAGGAGATGAAGAAGGTATAAAGGACACTTACTCCATTGCTGGTGTTCTGAACTGATCGGCCCGACCTGTACCGCTCGAACCTATCAGAGAAGGGAAAGTAGAAGTAAGGAGTGTGCAAAGCCCTGCTGGCTGTGCTCATGACTTGTGAAGAATATAGGGAACCCAAGACAGGCCAAATTTCCTGTGAAAAGGACCAAACATTGGGGGAGTGAAGTGGACTCTACACTTAACCAACTTTGTCATGTCTTTCTCTATGTGGAACTCCAGCTTCTCCTGAGTTACTATCAGGGACTGGGGGTGGCTGGGACCTGGAGGCCACCAGAAGCATCTGGTGTTCCTCTGGCCTCTGGAGGAAAGGTTATTCCAACCCCTTTGCCTCAGGCATCCCATATATCTGTCTATAAAGCCAGGCTGAAAGGGTATAGGCTTCCTTACTTCAAAGAGCTCTGCTAGAGAGCAATTAGCACTTGTGGTTAAAATGCCCCTAGCTCAGTCTTTGCAAGAAAGGAGCAGGTAGAACAGAAACAGCTTAGAAGAGGGTGGCACAGGGCTCTAGCCACAGCTGGAGGAAATGCTCACCAGGAACTGTGAAGAGCTTTGGGCTGCTTCCCATCCCCATCAGGGGCTGTCAGGATAGTAGAGCGTCTCCTGTACCCAGAGTGAATGTATGGCTGCAGATGTGGGTAACTGCAGAAAGGATTTCTCCTGCCACCACCAAGCCATCCTCATACCAGATGGGGGATAAATGAGCAGCTGTGAGGATCATATGGGGGACAGTAGACCCTGTGCTGCATCATGTTTAAATGTTCCAAATGCCATAAGCAAAGAGGCAGCCAAGTGATTTTCTCCAGCCATTGTCAGAGAAATCAGGCTTTACAGAGGCACAATGGTTTATGTTGCCCCTTCCCCATCTTGTCACATCAAGTGCCTAGGGACAAAGGATCCTCAGGAGATAAAGTTTCTGGCTAGAGTGTCCAGGATGATTTTAAGAAAAGACTTGTCTGTCCAAGCATGGTGACACACACATGTAATCCCAACACTTGGGAGGCAGAAGCAAGAGGATTATGAGTTTCAGGATGGTCTACATTACACAGCAAAACCCTGTTTCCAAACAACAAAACACCACCTCATCAAATAAATAACTAAATAAATCAAAACCTGGGTTCTGGTAGCTCACACCTATAATCATAGCTACACTGACGGTAGAAATCTGGGGATCACAGTTCATGGCCAGTTTGGGCAGACACATCTATAACTCTTACCTGCAATTAGCCAGCAAAAATTGAAGCATAGCTCAAGTGGTAGAACATTAACGGCAGGAAAAAAGACAAGTGTTTTAACTGTTAAAACCCAAGCCCACCTAGTATGAGGAAACCACATAGCAAGACTAGGGAGGGGGTGGTAGGTTGTGAGCAAAGGCCTTCAGATCTGCTTCTGTCCTTGGACTGACACATTGGAGGCTGATGGGAGTCCCCACATTCCTACTGGCAGAGGTGTCTTTGTCAGATGAGCACAGGACCACCAAGCCCTACTGCCACAGTCAGAAGCTAAGACAACTGTAGGCGTGACAACCACATTACCCTCAAGCATTCAAGTACAGTATCTATCTTTTGACCCTAATTGATGCCAAATCCTGTTCTCCTAACAAATCAATGCAGTAAGCTGGTGCACAAACAGCCAAGACTGCAAATTTCCAGGGGATTCAAGCTACTGTCAGGCCCTCTGGAGCCTAGTCAAGGTCTTTTCTGGTCCTGACTCTGGGTCATCAGAAAAGCCTAAAGTGTTTCATCAGGAGCAGGGATAGGAGCTGTGCTTAGCATTGTATTTAAAACTAGGTCCAGATGAGACATTTTGAACTTCGTCCCCAAAAATGCTTTGGAAAAGGAGACAAATTTGCAGGTTTGTTACTTCAGGCCTCAAAGTGATATGGCTGCAGAAAGAACTGAAAGGAGTGTGTTTCCTGAGGAGCAGTGATGGAGCAGCAGCACTCCGCACTCCCACCCTGCCTGCTTCTCCCCAGAATACTCCAGACAGGCTGACATTTACAAAGATCTTCTTTTTTTCTAGATGGAAAAGAGGAAATCCTTTTTCTTAGTAGAGATTCCCCCCCCCCCTTTAATCCTTTTCAAATTCAAAAGATCATCAAAGGAGCAGGTGTAGCAGCTCCAGACCCAGACAACCCCTCCCTCCCCCAGTCCTAGCTTTACCTCCCTGCGGCTGGGGTGATGGGGGAAAAGGCAGAGCAGCTTGAGGCTTACAAAGGGCAGAGCTGAGTTCTGCACATCAACTACCTGCTGCTCAGTTCTCAGGAGAACAAGAAGCATTTTCTCTGTCATCTGGGGAACAAATTAGCATCTCTGATGAGTATTTTCCAACTCTAATCTTTTCCCAGCTCTCTTTCTTTCCCTCCCCCTAGCTTATGAAAGAAATCTCTCTGTTATGGCATCAATCTTTTCAAGTGGAAAAAAAAAAAAAAGGACTCTGGCCCCCACCTCTCATAGCGGAGGAAGACATTGTTGAGGTCGTCATTGACGTGCAGTAATTCCTCGGTGACCTCCTCATTGGACACGCGGGAGATGAGCTCTACGATGCGGTGCTGCATGGCCCGGCAGGTCCTGTTTAGCTCCTAGGGAACACACACACCTCTGCACAGCCTGCTGGGAATGCTTTTTGTCACATTCTATTGCCTTTGAAAAGATTTGTACTGATTCTTTAAAGTCACGGAAGGAGTACATGCTTGTTCATAAAACCAGACGTGCAGAGAATGCAAAGTAACAGCTCCCACCTCGCCACCTCCCCTCCTGCCTCCGAGGAAACAAGTAGAGGGACAAATGTGCACAGATTCGTACTGTTTTGTGAATATGTTTGTACAGATCATTTAAAAAGATATAATAAGGGCCGGGCGCTGGTGGCTCACGCCTGTAATCCTAGCTACTCAGGAGGCTGAGATCTGAGGATCGCGGTTCAAAGCCAGCCCGGGCAGGAGAGACCGTGAGACTCTTATCTCCAATAAACCACCAGAAAACCGGAAGTGGCGCTGTAGCTCAAGTGGTAGAGCGCTCGCCTTGAGCTGAAGAGCTGAGGGACAGCGCCCAGGCCCAGAGTTCAAGCCCCATGACCGACAAAAAAAAAAAAAAAAAAAAAAAAAAAAAAAAAAAAGATATAATAATGTGATTCTCTGTGGCTTTTTTTTTCTCAACAAAATCTTTCAAGCCCTTCTCACCATTACTTTCCTCATTCCTTTGTGTGTGTATCACAACATGGCTCACGTTCTGCTACTGTCTAGCACGGGGTCTCTCGTTTTTAGGCTAACCCAAATAATGCAGCAATGAACATTTGTATAAATACATGCTTACATACTTTAACAGGTACTGTCATGGCATAAGTTTGTCAGAAGTACAGTTTCTGGGTGACAGAGTATGTATGGTATTTAGAATATTGATTAGTAACAGTAAAAGGTCCTCTGAAAATACAGATCAGCTTGCTTAATACTGCCAGTAATGGCATGAAATATATATCTATATATACATACACATACATATTTAATTTTTAATTTTTTTTTGTCAGTTGTGGGGCCTGAACTCTGGGCCTGGGCACTGTCCCTCAGCTCTTCAGCTCAAGGCTAGCGCTCTACCACTTGAGCCACAGCACCATTTCTGGCTTTTTCTGCTTATGTGGTGCTGAGGAATCGAACCCAGAGCCTCATGCATGCAAGGTAAGCACTCTTCCTTGCCCCCATGAGAACATTTTATGACTGAATTAGGTACCTTTGGTGATATGTCTGTCACCTTGCTATCTCAGAAGCTCTGCAATCTCCCTGCTGGCTAAAGATGACACTTGCTTCACCCTCCCCCCCGCCCGTCCCCCCCAGTCACCACAGAGGTCCTCTTGACCTTTTTTTTTTTTTTTTTTTGTCGGTCGTGGGGCTTGAACTCTGGGCCTGGGCGTTGTCCCTCAGCTCTTCAGCTCAAGGCGAGCGCTCTACCACTTGAGCTATAGCGCCACTTCCGGTTTTCTGGTGGTTTATTGGAGATAGGAGTCTCACGGTCTCTCCTGCCCGGGCTGGCTTTGAACCGCGATCCTCAGATCTCAGCCTCCTGAGTAGCTAGGATTGCAGGCGTGAGCCACCAGCGCCCGGCCCTCTTGACCTTTAGAAGCAATCCTCTTGAGCATGGCTTGGCTTCCATGATTCAGCCCTGACCCAGAGCAACTGCTTCCCTGGTACTCTTGTTTGAACTTGTTTGTGAGGCTTCCTCACACACTTGCCAGGCCCCACCCTCTTGAATGCCAGTCTGAGGACGTTACCTAGTAAAGAAGTGGCAGGTCTGTAGGATGGCCCTTCAGCCTTTCCAACTACTGGAGATGCCTAAGAACAAAATTCCCAGCCCCAGGGTCCACTAGGATCCAGGCAGGTGAGATGCTGTCCCCATTTATCCAGACCTTGGGGAGAGCAGATGAGCCAGTGAGCTAAGGGGATAAAGAATGGAGACACTCTTCCTTCTCACAGCTGGGTCTCAGAGATATGTCAGCTTGAAAACATGTCTGGCAGAAGTAACCAATCTAGTCCCAGCAGGCACGGGAAATCTTTGCCTTTTTTTTTTTTTTTTTGTCTCATCATCTCACTGTCCTGGCTAGAAGGTCTTCTCTCCCACCAGACAGTAACCTCCTTGAGAGGGGGATTGTCACAGCCATCTGTGTATGCCCTGAAGCCAGGCACTGAGCCTCACATAGTGAAAAGGCCCCAGTGGTTGTCTGCTGAATTAGATCACTGAGATGGTCAAGCATGTAAAGTAGGAAACCCAGGGTGCCCCTTCTGCAGTCTCCCTGGTTCCCAGTAATATAGCTCTCACAGGCAGAATTACCATCACTGAGCTCCCAGTGAGCTTCCCCTCAGATAGCAACTCAGGTCTCTCTTTCCATCTCTGCAGTGTCATGACTGATACATAGGGGCCTACTCTCCAAGAGCACTTAAGAGAATAAGTGAGTGAAGATAGTTTGCATTCCTTCTGCCCACCTCAGTCCAAAGTATCAGCACTTTTTATCTCACTACTGCAGGGTATATATCCTGCAGGTGAGAGTTCGGTGAGGCCCTCAGCAGGCTGCTTCTTCCCATGGTGTTCAACCTTGGGGCTCCCTCTCTGAGAGTGACAGCAGCTGAGAAATGAAGCCTGGCCCAGGTATATTACCCTATGATCCTCTCAGTACAGCTGTATTTATTGGAACAGAAGAAATCTGGAATCAGGCAGCTAGGTGCATATAAGTTTAGTGTTCATCTTGACCAAAAGCTTTCTTGGAGACTCCTCGACTGTGGGTCTGCCACCTGGCTGGGCCTGTTTCTCTGGTCATGTTAATGTTTCCCCTTTGTCCTGGTTCTACCCTCTGCACAGTCACAATGGTGCTGTCAGTCTATATGATCATTGAGGAAAGAAGCCTAGTATCTGGTTCTCTGAACAGACTCCCATCCTAGGTTTTAGAGAAGCCAGTGTCATTCCTGAAGCAGACTCTCTAGGGCCCACGCTCTCAAGCAGAGGCAGACACCTTCTCCCCAGGCCCAGAACAAAAAGTACAGCCCTGTCTGGTGCTGCAAGCTCTGGGTAGGGGAGGGGAGGACAACAGTCAGATCTCATCAGGACTGAAGGCCAACAGGTAAATTTCAGACCCAATGAGTTAGAAGTCTGGAGCATATTGTGGGAGATAATTCCAATGCTCTACAGAAGCTTGGAGTATCACTGCCTAGAGCCCATGGATAATCTCCAAACATACCTCAGATTCAAGCATGGCAGTGGCCTTGGGTACTCATCACACTGCTCAGGAGCCCTAGAAGTTGGCACTGGCAAGCCATGTCCCTTCTTTTCTATCCACTCCTATGTATTCTTTAGAACCTCAGGTTATTTTTTCCATCCCAGTACTTCATCATATAAGCTCTCTCTCTCTCTTTCTCTTTCTCTCTCTCTCTCCCTTCCTCTCTTCCTCCTTCCCTCCCTCCCTTTCTTCCTTTTTCCTTTTCTTTCTTTTTTTCCTTTTCTTTTTCTTTTTGCTAGTCCTAGGTCTTGAACTCAGGCCTTACACCATGTCCCTGGTTTGTTTTTTTTTTTTTGTTTTTTGTTTTTGGTTGGTCGTGGGACTTGCACTCTGGGCCTGAGAGCTGTCTTCAGCTCAAGGTGAGATCTCTACTGCTTGAGTCACAGCACTACTTCTGGTTTTCCAGTGGTTTATTGGAGATAAGAGTCTCTTGGAGTTTCCTGCCCGGGCTGGCTTTGAATTGTAATCCACAGATCTTAGCCTCCTGAATAGCCAGGATTACATCCACTGGCACCTGGCTTGTTTTTGTTTTTTTGCTTAAAGCTAGCACTCTACTACTTGAGCCACATCTCTATTTCTGGCTTTTTGGTGGTTAACTGTAGATAAGAGTCTCACAGACTTTTCTGCCCAGGCTGGCTTCAAACAGTGGTCTTCAGATCTCAGCCTTCTGAGGAACAAGTGAGAGCCACCAGTACCTGGTGATCATGTAAATTTTCAAACAAAGCAAAGTAAATATACCATCACCTATACTCTGATTTTTGCCACATCTCCCATTTACCCATACCCCATACACTGGAAATGTTTTCTGGGGACCCCTGTCCATTTCTTCTCCTTTAAAGACTACAAAACATTCCAGGTACAGCTTGACAGCAGCTGTCATCTTAGATTGTAATGAGAGGTCCTATAGCAGAGCCTCCAAGTGATGACCAGACATACCCTACCCCAGACAGCAGAAACCCAGGACAGAAGTATGCTGACAGATGGCAATTAGATTTAGATGAGAATCATGCAGAACTCCTTAGCAGACTACAGGGAGTGCCTCAGAAACTAAGCCAGTGCAGTGGCTCATGCCTGTAATCCCAATTACTCAGGAGGTGCAGTTAGGAAGATCATGGTTCAAGGTCAGCCCAGGCAAAAGCTTAAGACCTATCTGAAAAACAAACTAAAAGAAAAATGACTAGAGGCATGGCCAAAGTAGCAGAGAGGTTCTGAGTTTAAATCTTAGCATTGTGAAAAATCAAGCATTCAAACAAGCAAACAAAACATAGCTACAAATCCCCCAAGCATTAGGACCCCTGGATGGGAGTGGGCAGGGACTTGTCTCCATCTTTCCCACAGAGCCTGCCCCAGCTGGGTGCTGGGGAGTGAGCAGCAGCAACAGACTGGTTAGTGCTCTCCACTTCTCCAGGACTCTGGCCTCTCCCTGTGTAAAATAAGAGGGCTGTGTACTTCAAACCTGAAGCATTCTTCAGAGTGCCAGTGAGGTGACCCAGCAGTCTCCAGGGCGCCTGCTCCACTGCAGGGGAGGCAGCTCTGCTCGTACCTATTTTGCATACTGTCATACTCTGTAGAATTCTGTTTTTAGAAGAAGGGGTTCCCATCAATTTCAAAACCTTTGGGGAGTGCTATAAGGACTTCTGCAGCTCTCACACTATGACCTCAGCTTAGAGACCCAAGATATAGACTGTAGTAATCTTATGGACACTAAGCACCAGAAACCTATGTCCTGGCCTTGCAATTGCTGCCTCTTTTCCCACTGCCCTCCTGTTGGGGTAGTGGCTGGAACAGTCTGCACTCTGCAAGCAGTCTCACAGGCTTCATTTT